TGATCACAATTGATAAGCGAAATATCGAAATAGTTATATATTAAAGAAAAAATATAATTACATTTAAAAAAAAAGTTTATACGCAGCCATATTTATTGAATTCTATACTGTGATAAACCGTATCGAATATCTTTTCTCTGGCGGAAAAGATTAGTAAATATTTTTTTAACTATTTCAAACGTTTTTTTGTGTAATTTTTAAAAATAGTTTTTTTTTCAACTTTTCGTACAGCTTTTTTTTCGATAAAACTTTTTAAGACTTGTAATACAAGGCCTCAAGAAGTTCTTACGGTTGTACCAAAGAGCACCGCGGAAGAATTTTCAATAGGAAGCTTACGCCTCTTTTCTGACTGGTGTTGCAAAACTTCCCCATATAGGGGGGTTGAGCTTTTTGGTAAAAACGGCAAAAACGGTAAATGCATTGAAATGGTTATAATAAATAACTTTAACTATAACTTACACACTACTAGCTTTTTGTTTTTTACCGTTTCTAATATTATCTTAAATTGAAAGTTCAACTTTAATTAACTTAAATTTCTAATTAAATGATTATCCGCGGTGCTCTGTGATAAGATCGTAAGAGAAGTAAGGACTTCTTGGGGCACCTAAATAAAATTAAAAAAAAAAAAATTTTAGAAAATATAACCATTTTCCGACTTTAAATAAACGTTTTATCAACATCGGATTTTAGTTGTTGGCGACGTCGCATTTGTAACCATATTGATATTATAAAAACAATGTTGGCAGCGGTAATGGGACGTAAGAGCGAAAAGTTTAAAAGCGAAAGAACGTAAGAGCGAAAAGTTTTAAAGCGAAAGAACGTTGAAGCGAAAAGTTTTAAAGCGAAAACAGGGAAATCGAGTATCGCGATAAGTTCAACAGCAAAAACAATTGAAATTTATTGAAATTTTTTCTGATTTTATTATTATTTCAATGTTATATTATAGATTATTAAGCGTTTGGATTTTATTTTTTAAAACTGTTAATATTTTTATAATTAGTTAAATTTTACATAATTATAAGTTAGTTATAGTTTAGAATTATTTATTTGATATTCTAGCTGAGAGTTATAGTTACAGTTAGAGTTTATTAGATTAAATAAATAAAAAAACTTATTGTATACAGTTTAGAGTTTATGTATATAGTTTTAGTATAGAATTAAATGCTTATAGTTTAGAATTATTTATTTATTTGGTATTCTAGCTGAGACTTAAGTTACAGTGCGACAAAAAGATATAAAATCTTGCATAAAAATTATTTTTGCACTACAAGTTAAAAGATTGCACTACAAGTTAAAAGATTCGCATAATTTCTTATTGATATTATTTAATTTTAATTTGTTTTTTGAAATTTATGCATTAGATTTCAAGCAAAAGATTGTTTTAATGTTTAAATAAAAATTATTCATAAAATTAGAAAGCTACGAATTTATAATGTTCTTTTATTTTCATTAGGTATGGTGAGTTAGGCTGTTTACCCTTGATACTTTTAGAAATGATGAGATAGTTAAACCTCAAGAGTTGATGTTTAACTATAAAATGTAGAACTGCTTTCAAAAAATCTTTTAGGCATCAACCAAGAAGATTCACTCAGTTATTAATTAAATTATACTCTTAAATTGTTCTAAAAAAAAAAAAAAAAAAGCACATTACAAAATAAGAAAGTAGTTAAAAATAAAATAATCTTCTTCTACCTCTTGTAAATTGAACTATAAATAATTTTGACAATAATATTGCTGAAATTCAACACGTGGGAAAAAAAAGGACACTGTACAGCTTTCTGTTTACAGAACAAATCAAATCAAAACAACATCATAAAAAAATTGTAGCAAAATAAAATACCTAAAAGTTGAAACAACATATTCTAAGTGTAACAACATCGATCAAGATAATGCCATACATAATGGTCACAATATAAGTATCTTTATTATAGAGATTTATATTGTGGTTATTGACTAATAGACTATAACTGATGATAATAACATCTATTCTTGTCTTGATAAGAAGCCAACACTCTCTGATTCAGAAAATGTTGGCTTCTTATCAAGACAAGAATAGATGGTGTTATCATTCAGAGAACTAAAAATAATATTACTAAATATTTTTTGAAGTGTGTAGTATAGTAAACCTCTTCCAGACCCACAAGGTCACTACAGTTAAAAAAGCTAATTTTAATTTTTTTGCTTCCATCAAAGAAATTTGCAACTAATAATAATATAATAATAAGATATAGCTGTAACAACTGGAGTAAACAGTTGCGAAGTGCAATAACACTAGATATTGCACTGTGAAGGCTCAGATTGTTTTTTGTTCATGTTTTAACAAATAGTTTCTGCAAAATTCAGATTTTTCTTGCTTAACCAATCGCATTCGCTTTTAACTTTTTCGCTTTCCCGACCTTTCGCTTTCAAAATTTTCGCTCTTAAAAGTTTCGCTTCCAAGACACCGAACCTTGGCAGCGGGTGTTGGGCTAACGAAACGCGACATTGTTCTAATGTTTTAACAACGTATGTGTGCTAGCTGGAAAGCATGACATATAAGCATTTGCGCTTTAAATAACTGATTCAAAAATAATTGCACTAACAGATACTCAGCTCAGTTCTAAATATATATATTATGAAGTTTATTATTTTTATTTAATATATTTATAAAAGTTATTATTAGTCAAGATAAGTCCCTTTTGAACTTTGTAAGCTTGATTTTACTTATTTCAATGATCATACGGAAAAATATACATAGTTTTTTTAACAAGTTTTTAACAAGAATCATTATAGTTTCATTAAACATGCATTAAATAATACTAAGCTTATCTGACACTTTTTCATTATTTATCACCTTGACTTTTTTTTATCGCCTTAGTTACCATCAAACAACCATGTCTCGGATAAATGATATACTTCAACCCCACAACAACATCTTACGTTTCTATTTTTTTATGATATTTAAAAAAAATATATTTTTCACAATAGCAGTGGTTACTCAGCAGTAGTTTATTAAAAACACTAAAAATATCTTTACGTTTTTATAGTATTTTGGGTTTGAATAAACTTTTCTATTATTCAGAACTAATTTGTTATAACGATAAAAGGAAAAAAAAATATAAAAATACTCAGCATTATAACCTATATATTCTATAATCTATATATTCATTCACAAGTTTTCAAGAAAAAAACAAAAAATACAAACACAATTTCTTTATTATTTAAAGAAGTTGTGTTTTATATTTTTGTAAAAACTGTCCAATGTTCCCTTAACCTAATATTAGTAACCTTTAACTTATTAAAATATGTGCCTTAAGAGTTAAATCATATATTTTAATAAATATCGTTTTGCAAATGAATTTAACATATCATTTCGCAATTGAATTAATAATTTTTTAGTTGAGTTAGGTGTTTTTTCCAAAAAAGACAAGTTTAAAATAAAAAAAAGATTCTTCTTATTTAGTTGTGGTGGAGAATTGGTGTTAATTTTGTTTAAATACAAGTTAAATATTTTAGTAATAAGAATGGATACATATTTCTTTGAGATACATTAAAAAGAATGTTTATTTCTGAATGAAACTCCAACTTAGTTATATTGATTTTAAATATTCATAAAAACAAATCTGAAAACTTAGGGAATTTGTTTTAGAAGAAATAGCATTTGCTGTGACATGAAAAAAAAAAACAATTCAAAAAAAAAAAAGTTTTAATTCAAAAAAATATTCCAAAAAAAAAATATTTACTTAAAAAAGTACTTTTTTTTCTATGACTGTTTTTTCAAATATTTTTATGTAAAACTTAGAAAAAAAAGGGTATGTTTTTACCATATATATATATATATATATATATATATATATATATATATATATATATATATATATATATATATATATATATATATATATATATATATATATATATATATATATATATATATATATATATTAAATATATATATATATATATATGTATATATATATATATGTATATATATTTAATATTTATTTAATAAGAGCGGTAGTGGTAGAGCGCTCGCTTCATAAACGAGTTGTTCCCAGTTCGATCCCCACCACGTCTCTGGTAGTACCGCGCTCAACTTGTTTCTGTGCGCAGCGGCCTTGTTCGTCAAGGTTCGTGTTTCAGAGTTATAGAGTTGAGAGAGGGTTATAGCCACAAAATAAGTAGCCTCCTTGTCTGAAGTGGCCTTCTCGGCCTTCTCGGAGGTGAAGTATAATAAATATATATATATATATATTTGAAATATATATATATATGTATACATATATATATATATATATATATATATATATATATATATATATATATATATATATATATATATGTACATATATATATATATATATATATATATATATATATATATATATATATATATATATATATATATATATATATATATATATATATATATATATATATATATATATATGACTTTGATATGCTCTTAGAAGTAAATAATTAATTAATCTCAAATACCCAGATACATCATATGAAGCAAGCTTATTGAGAAAATCTGCATGCCAAACTTTAATGAAAGCTTTTGATATGTCAAGAGCAATAATCCTTACCTTACCACCTCATGGTTGCAATAAGCATGAAACTAATAATTGTAAAAGTTATGTAGTTTTTATTTATGATATATTTATTATATATTAAGTAATGAGTAAATGAGTAAATAAGTGCAAGAGTGAAGAAAAGCTCTCCTAAAACTAACATGGAAAGCCATGCGAGCTGCTCCTCTAAACATTTTCTTATTAGAGTTTTTAGTTTTTACATAAGCTATCTGTTTATTCATCAAAAAAATTGATTATTAAATACAAAACTTGATTTGTACATATATATATATATATATATATATATATATATATATATATATATATATATATATATATATATATATATATATATATATATATATATATATATATATATATATATATATATATATATATATATATATGTATATATATATATATATATATATATTTATATATATAAACAATAGTATTTAAGGATATTTTTTCAGAAGAATGACAGAGTTATCAAATAAAGGCAATGTCAGCATTTCAAACAAAGAACAGCAGTTCAAGTAAAGTATTTAAAATTTATATATATATATTTATTTATATAAATATATATATATATATATATATATATATATATATATATATATATATATATATATATATATATATATATATTTACATATACATATATTTTTAATCTATTTTAATATAAAATATAGTCTGTTTAACTATATTTCTATTTTTGAGTTCAAAACCATCCATATGTTAAAAAAAAATGTCCTTATTGTAAGTTACTGTAGTTTTTTTTAATTTTTATTAAAAACATTTAAAATGTAGTAAATTGTTACAATTATAAATGAAATATCATAAATAGTAATCTTTAAATAACTCATATAGTTTTATTTGTTTTTTCAATTTTTTTTCATGAAGACACTGTTATTTGGTATTAAAGATGTCCTGTTTAAAGGACACTATTAATTAAATATCTCTCTAAATATTGTTAATTGAAAGAGAAAAAGCAAATTATTTTATTTTGTAAAATAAATAGAAAAAGCATACAGTAAATATATGTTTTAAATTCTTTTTTTAAGTTCACCATAACATGATGATAATTTAAGAAAATAAATATAGATAAAAATGATGATAATTTAAGAAAACACACAATGTTTTTCAGAGTCAGGCAATGTTTTAAATTCACCAAATGTTTCACTAAATAAATGTTTCACTAAATAAATGTTTCACTAAATAAATGTTTCACTAAATAAATGTTTCACTAAATAAATGTTTCACTAAATAAATGTTTCACTAAATAAATGTTTCACTAAATAAATGTTTCACTAAATAAATGTTTCACTAAATAAATGTTTCACTAAATAAATGTTTCACTAAATAAATGTTTCACTAAATAAATGTTTCACTAAATAAATTATCTAAATCTTGTTTGGTCATGAAAAGTTTTTTATTTTCTACATACATTCAACATGCCAAACAGTTGATATATAGTTGATTTTTAACAATTTTATTTTGATACAGTTTCTACAGTTTTTTTATTTGTTTTTAGCACCAATTCATTATACAATACATTGTTTATGACTTGAAGACCAGAAATAATTAGGGATTATACTAATAACTAATGAATTGTATATTAAATTAAAATGTTTTTTTGAATTAGTGTTTAATTGATTTGTGTTGAAATTGCATTTTTGCTTTGTTTTATCAATTTTTTTAACGATTCAACACTTATTGGTAAAAAAAATTATTACGACTGTTTTTGTGTGGATTAAAATTAATGATAAAGATAATATTTATAGAAGTTTTTAATTTTATATTTTTAATACTGTAAATTGTATATTTACTTTTTACTTCCATCAAGGCTGCAAGCAACTAGTTTTAAATCGGAAGTTATTAGAAAACAAAGAATTTTGTTTAAGAACATGAAAATGGTTGACAGATATATGAATTTGATTTTTTAAGTTGTAGGTTATATGAGTCGGAAAACTTGAAAATAAAAGAGAGTTTCAAAGCATTGATTTGTGAGGAAAAAAACAATATAAATAAAAGTTTTTTAGAGCATGACAGGACAGATACATTAAGAGTCAGGTGACAATGAGTTTTGTTTGATGAAACTAGAGATGATAACTCATTTAAGCAGTGACCATGATAGTATTTGTAAAAAGAAAAAAAGATGCAATTTTACAATGATGGGATAGTAGCTCAAGCTTACCAAATAGAGCATGTTTAACTAACAATGCGTTTTTGAACCTTGTTTAGAAGAGAAAGAGCGTCATTAGAAGAACCAGCCCAAATTTGACAACAGTATTTCAAACAGGAACAAATAAGAGATTAGTAGAGGAAGAGAATGATAGTATTGCAATAGTTGTTTGCACAAAATAAAGTTTTGTTGGAATCAAAATCCACAAGCCAATACAAGCCATAAGCTGTTACAGAAGAGAGATTCAAGTTCAGCTGCCTGTTCTAAATGATCAAAAAGTGAAGACTTTTTGTCAAGGCTTAAGTATAATTGAGTATAAAGTTGAGTTGTCAGCAAATAAAACCACTTTAGACATTGTCAAGATTGCCAGGAAGAATAATAATATAGATAAGAAACAATTCAAGACCAGGTATAGAATCTTGTGGTATCCCAGAAGTTACTGAAAATAAAAAGACCTTAAAGGATGACTTTGATATGCTCTTAGAAGTAAATAATTAATTAATCTCAAATACCCAGATACATCATATGAAGCAAGCTTATTGAGAAAATCTGCATGCCAAACTTTAATGAAAGCTTTTGATATGTCAAGAGAAATAATCCTTACCTTACCACCTCATGGTTGCAATAAGCATGAAACTAATAATTGTAAAAGTTATGTAGTTTTTATTTATGATATATTTATTATATATTAAGTAATGAGTAAATGAGTAAATAAGTGCAAGAGTGAAGAAAAGCTCTCCTAAAACTAACATGGAAAGCCATGCGAGCTGCTCCTCTAAACATTTTCTTATTAGAGTTTTTAGTTTTTACATAAGCTATCTGTTTATTCATCAAAAAACTTGATTATTAAATACAAAACTTGATTTGTACATGTTACAAGAATATGTTTGTAACATTAATGTAATAAAAATATATACATAACAAGCGTCATTTATTGCGCCATGAAAAAAATTCTTTAAAAGAGTTTTCACATTAGCTATCTATTTATTTATTAACAACATTATTTGTTAAAAAATTTGACAAAGAGCTATAAAAGTTTTTACTGCTTTTAAAAACGTTTTATATTTTCTTATTGTTATAGAATGCAGGCATTTTAAGAATTATTACAACATTAAATTCTTAATTAAAGTGAATAATATATCAAAATAACTAATACATATAAGTCATTACATATAGAATATATAAGTCATTATATAAAATGTCATTACATATAGAATATATAAGTCATTACATAAAATGTCATTACATATAGAATATATAAGTCATTACATAAAATGTCATTACATATAGAATATATAAGTCATTACATAAAATGTCAGTTAAATAATCTTATGTTTTATCAATATAATTTAGACAACCGTGCCTTTGAAAAAGCATCACAGTTTAATATGCAATTTTTTTTTCAAATGACTGAGAGTGGGCAAGAGCAAAACCTGCCTAAGCTTTTATATATATATATATATATATATATATATATATATATATATATATATATATATATATATATATATATATATATATATATATATATATATATATATATATGTATATATATATATATATATATATATATATATATATATATATATATATATATATATATATATATATATATATATATATATATATATATATATATATAAAAGCCTAGGCAGGTTTTGCTCTTGCCCACTCTCAGTAGGCAAGAGCAAATATATATATATATATATATATATATATATATATATATATATATATATATATATATATATATATATATATATATATATATATATATATATATATATATATATATATATATATATATATATATATATATATATATATATATATATATATATATATATATATATATATATATATATATATAAAAGCCTAGGCAGGTTTTGCTCTTGCCCACTCTCAGTCATTTAAATATATATATATATATATATATATATATATATATATATATATATATATATATATATATATATATATATATATATATATATATATATATATATATATATATATAATCATCATCATAATCATTATCTACAACAACATCATCAGCTTTAGCCAAAAAAAAAATTCAAACATCTTCCATAACTGAAACTTGTTCATACCATAAGTAACACACTCTCCCCAAGTTTTCTTACTTCTGCCTCTACCTTTTTCTCCTGAAGCTGCTACCTCTCTAAATGTTGATACCCAAATCATCTGCATTTTTTTTGCTCAACATATCTAAACCACCTTAATCTTTTCTAATGATCATGGCGTATTTTTTGTTTAGTTAGAGTCACACCAGACATCCATTTGATCATCATTTTCTCTCGGCTAATGCTACATTATATAAATTGAGGAAAAAATTAAAATTGTGCCTTATTTGGAAAACTTGCATTTGTTATAGAAATGTCTCGCTGCTATATTTTTGCATTTTTCTGGTAAAACTTCTTATTTTCTACGTTTTGGATGATTTTGAAAGTTATTCCACAAAAATGCCACAAAATGCAGTTATTTCACCATCAATTTTTATATTTTGTTATATCACTATATTGCAGTGATATAACAAAATAGTCCAAAGTTTACTTGGTCATTACTATAAAGTTTTCCTTAATCAGTGGTATTATCAAATGGTCGATTTTACTCACTATTTTTTTTAAAAAATAGTGAGTAAAATCTCACTATTTTTAATTTCAAATGTTTGGAAATAAATTTTTAATTTCAATTAAAAATTTATTTCCAACAGTGCAATCAATTAAGTCAAATTATGAATAAAATTATAGTAGGGTTGCCTGTTTGTTTCAATCAAATCATAAATGTTTTCATAATTAAACTATCTTTGGTATAAAAAAATTTATTTCTTAAGTGATCCAATTTCAATAATATAGAATATGCCAGCATATAAATAAATAGCAAGCTATGCTTGTAAAAATCCCCGTATTTAGTTGAGGCTGGAACTGGGGACCTTTTTGGATCTTGCCCAGAAGGGAAAGGGCATCATTAAGTACAAGTTCAAATATGACAACATTATTCCATACAGGGACAAAGAAGAGATTTATAGATGAAAAGAATGGAATTGGACTAAGGAAATGGCATAATAGAGAGAAACAACTTTAGCAAATAGCTTTGCATTGGATTGTATATATAATTTCATCGAGAAGTCAGTTGTGTAAAATAATCAGAGAAAATGTAAAGTTGAAGTCTCAGTAAGATTATTGCCATTCATTAATTTAGTAATATCAACATGTGAAGTTGAAGTCTCAGTAGGAGTGTTGCCATAGTAATATTGCAACATTGCAATATTTATTAGCAGTAAACAACTTTTATTTGAAATTTTATAATTTTGAGCCAATTTCGAGGATTAAAAAAGCTTTTATTTAGATTTGAGAAAAAGCAATGCTTTGCTAGGATGTGGTTCCAATCAACAGTTTGTAATGGTGAAGAAACTAAACAAAAACTAGCTTTAGTGTTAAACTTTTTCAAGATTGCAAGTGAAAGATTTTCAACAGACTATGAACTAGTCATTAATTATTGTCTAAACTAAATATCATTAACCAAAACTAAATATCATTAACCAAAACTAAGTATCATTATTACCAAACAAAATAGAAGTTAGGATTCCAAAGTTAGTTAAGTTTTTTATTTATATTAAAATTGTTAAAAAATAAATTTTAAAAATTTGTTGATTAACAATTGTTTATTTTGACAAAATAGACTTAAAAATAAAGTACAAATAAAAATAATTGGTTTCTAATAGGTACAATAAGTTTGGTTTATTAAGAATAACAACAAACATTTAATAATAAGATAAATTCAACTATTTTTTGAAAAAATTTGTTTGAATTTTTTAAAGAAGAAAAAAAAAAGGATTTCAACTAAAGAAAAATATTTCTCAAAGATTTATTGATTTCTTAAAAAATTAGAGATTAGAAAATTAAAAAAATAATAATAAAAGCAGGACAGTTCCACACTACCATAAATTTAAGTTTATTTGCAATTTTAAGTTATCTTATATAACAAAAACAATGCATAATCAAAAGATAAAATTTTTATACAAATATATTATAAGGTATCTAAGAAAAACTTTTTTTTTTAAATTTTAGTTTTTTATTAATTTTGATTTGTTTGTTTTTTTGTTATGATGAAAAATGTTTTATATAATTAAACTTGTTGAGAATTTTATTGTTTTTAATAAATGATAGTTTATTATCTTTTTATTCAGACAAAGAAATGCATTATTAGAACAAAAGACAGCAAGTCTAATAAGTGAGGCAGAAGCAGTTTTTGTAAGTTTTTAATGTTTATGTATACCATCAGTGCTGATTTAATTTTAAATATAATTGACAACAATGATTTTAGGTATATTTATGGGTTCAAAAAGGATTTAAATTGTTAATTTAAAGATTGAAAAACTTCCAAAAAACTAAACAAAATTTATTGTGATGTTTTTTCTGAGTTTGGTTTAATTATTTTAAAGAGTTGTCATACAAGATTATTTGACATATAAAGGTTTGTTAAAAAATTTATCGAGATTATTTGACATATAAACGTTTGTTAAAAGATTTATGTTATTGTGAGAGGTTATGTTAGTATAAAAAGAAATGTAACTTTTGATTGTTAGTTAAAACTCAATAATAAGCTTTTTTTGTTTTTTTATGCTAAGTTTTATCAGTATTTATTTAATACCTCTTCTAATAATAAATCATAAAATTTAATTGTTATAAAATGTTAATAGCTTATATCAGATAAAAAATATGTTCTATTAATGTTAATTATTATAATTTTTGTAACAAAAAATAATTATAATTTGTTGTATACACCTGATAGCATCCTAAATATTGCCCAGGACCCTTTGTTTTATTGATACCAAATAAATATATCATAGTCCTAAATACTAATGTATCCAGAATTTTGAATTTTGATAGGAATTGCAAATTAGGAACCTTATGTTATAAATAGTAAATAAAATATATTTTCTAGTCTGTTTCAGACTAGAAAAACAAAATTTTTTTATGATATAGGTATTTTGATTGTAGTAAACAACTTGCTTCATTAAGTTTCAACATTTTAATATAATTTTTTTCTTATTGCTTTCCTTTTTTTTCTTTTTTTTTTTAGCTTTAACTTTATATTCATATAGAGTTAAAACTAAAATGTATTCATATGACTCAGCATATTGTTTGTGTTGAAAGGTTTAGTTTTTCTTTTTTTTTAAATTTACTTGGTGTCAAAGTTGATTAATTGGTATACTGTTTAATACAATAAGAAATTTCATTAAGTTTATATGATATGACACAATAACAAATTTCATTAAGTTTATATGATATGATACAATAACAAATTTCATTAAGTTTATATGATATGATACAATAACAAATTTCATTAAGTTTATATGATATGATACAATAACAAATTTCATTAAGTTTATATGATATGATACAATAACAAATTTCATTAAGTTTATATGATATGATACAATAACAAATTTCATTAAGTTTATATGATATGATTTAAGTGATTTTTATTTTGTTTCTCACCTTAAGTGCAGTAAAATGTTTCTTATACAGTTTTTTAAAGTTTATTAGACATTCTGTTTCCATAAGAAACTTCTTCTATTTGCAAATATATAGTTACCCAAGAGTTAGCAAACGTGTTAAGGCAAATAATATAATAATGGAAATATGTAAAGTAGTAATAAATAATATAATAAGGAAAATAATAAAATAATAAAAAAAGTTAAAGTAAATAATAACCTCAAAATTTTGTATATATAATCTAAAATATGTCTATAACCTCAAAAACTAAATATTTTAGAAAGTTCATGAAGCCTTATTTGCTGATATATCCATCAATGATGTTTCTAAAAACTCAGAGAAGTATTTTTTTAATTATTGATGTTTTGAAAAAAAGAAATTTATTTTGTACTATTTATTTATAGATTTTTATTGAAACGTTTTGTTTCAGCTTGAAAATATATTTGTATCCAAAGGCATATTTCTCATTTTATATATATTTACATAGAGGAATAATTTCATAAGTTGTAACTTTTATATATATTTACATAGAGGAAAAATTGCATAAGTTGTAACTTTTATATATATTTACATAGAGGAATAGTTTCATAAGTAGTAACTTTTATATATATTTACATAGAGGAAAAATTGCATAAGTTGTAACTTTTTAATATATTTACATAGAGGAAAAATTGCATAAGTTGTAACTTTACATAGAGAATTGCATAAGTTGTAACTTTACAAAATGTAAAAATAAGTTCAGTTTTGACTTCTTTATTTTAGACTTTCCCAACAGGTAATAAACTTTATTCTTATTTAAAATACCAATAACCGTAAAATGGGGTGTATAGCAACAGTTTGTGGTCTTTTGACTAACACAGATATTCTGTTTAAGCCCTGAAAAAGGTTGTAATAAGCTTAAAAGTCTGGTCTTGCACTCCTTTACAAGTTAACAGTGGAAAAACAAAATGAACTCATTCATGTGCCTGTTGCTTTTCACCCAGCTAATTGGGGTGAATAGCAACACTGGTTAGATTGTTGGTATTTTGCCATTAGAAATAACACAGGGTGCATAGCAACACGTTAAATTTGTACACACAATGTATTTAAGGTTTTAAAAAATACAAAATTCATATAAAACTTGTTAAATTCTAAGAAAAAAGTGACAAAATTATATTTTTAAGCAAACATTTTCCTAAAATTGAATCTAAAGGTTTCTGAACATCTTTAAGAAAACTGAATGCATTTAATTTATTGTAAACCCATCAAGATCATCATCAAATGAAATAAGTCCTTGAAATCTTCCAGCTGTGCACAATTTCGGTTTTCCAAGCTTGCGGATGACATCCTCAGGTGTCTTGAAGAGTGCTTCTTTGTCCGTTTCCAAAAATCTTAAGCCATGGGAGGTCTTCTTGTAAAACTTTCCAATATATCCCTCTTCATCAAATTCTATAACTTTAACAACATACAAGCAAAACGAATTTTTTGTCTTTCCAATCACTTTTATAAGGGCAAAGTCCGCAAGTGAAAACTTTGAAAAATCATTTTCCTTCAAAGTTTTGTTTACCGATAAAAATGAATCTTCCTCTGAGAAGCTCTCCCTCCATTCTGCATCACTGTCTTGGAGTGAATAGTCAGACTCTTCAGTAGTTGATTCATCAGGATCTTTAACATGTTTTTTCCTTTTTAATGTGTTCTTTGGTCCTTTGCTCGTGTTACTAGGTCCTGCTGTACATTCATTTTTGTCAGTAGAAACCTCTGTTGGAAAGTCTGCAACTTCAACACTTTTACCTGGAAGGATGGATACTTTTTTTCTTGTTTGCCTTGCCTTCGGTTTGTCGGGTTGTCTTATAGATTCCATGTATTGCTTGAAGCTGGCATCCAAGGCTTCAGCGGCAGCTTCATTGCTAACTAATCTCTTAGAACCTTTAGAGGGAGGCAGCATGCCAAGGACTTTTTCCCTATTCAGTGGAACAACGCCACATTTTTTGAAACCAGAAACAACATTCGCTTCTTTAAGAGACACAAATAGCTCTTTTAAAAGAGGTGGGAATCGATCCTTTGGTAAAGACGCTTCACTTCTTCCTGGGCCTTGTTTTCATTTTAAAAGGATGGATCTCCAAGTCTGTTTAAGGGGGTGGAAGAATGCCACGTCCAGTGGTTGTGTAAGGTGAGTGGAGTTGCTTGGTAAAAATACGAATTTGATGTTATGTTCTTGACATATTTTAATGACATCTACAGATAGGTGTGAAGCCAAGTTGTCACCTAACAAGACCTTCACTCCTTTGAGTTTTGATAAACGTGGTATTGCAATGGTCTCGACCCAGTCTTGAAAGCAATACGAATCAAACCACCCTGACTTCGTTCTGTTGAATCTCGAGTTTGGTGGTCCTCCAACTCTCCAGCTGTCATACATGTGCTGAGATTTGTATACTACATAAGGCGATAAGATGGTTCCGTCACCAGCATTGGCAAACATAACCGACACTGAAGCCTTTGTAGAGTTCATAACTCTTTAGGGATACTTACAGCCCCGCCGAGCTATAACCACTTTCCGGCCCGGGTCGTCGCATAAGTTGGTTTCATTGTAGTTGATGATATTACTTGCCGGAATATCTTTTAGTTCTGTAGCAAGATGGTCAAAGTATTCATTTATACTCTCTTCATTAACTGCCGCTCTCGACCGTTTAATATTTTGACACTTGCGAGCCGATAGTTCCTTCTTGTCTCATTCCAGGAAGCTGTGTACAAAATCAGGCCCAGGCATATTATCCTTGAATTTTGGGACAGTTTTGCCCTGCATTTCAATATAATCCTTAATTAGCAGTCTCAAAGTAATTAAGTCAATTGGATATCCTCAATCACTGCAGATCTGAAGTCTACTAACTAAGAGGTTTTCATCATATTCCGACAAAGCGGTTTGGCCACCTTTTTTCTTAGTTTCACCTCTTTTCATATGTCTGTAAAGTACAGTATGATCTATTTCATATTTTTCTGCAACTTTTCTAAAACTACCACCAATTTGTACTTCATTAAGAGCTCTTTTAATCACTTCAGGGTCATACTACCTGTATTTTTTAATACTCGCATACTTTCGAGGCATCCTCTTTCAGTTAGGCCACAAATCATACCTGAAACAAAAAACAGCTCCTATAGTAATCAAATAAATATATTTATATAATCTGTGATCAAGTTAAATACTTACAGTCAGTATTTATGTTAAAAATAACAAAAAAAAAAAAACAATCAGCTGTTGTTTATGAGAACTAAGGGGTGAATAGCAACAGAAAAAAGTGTGTTGCTATTAACCCCAGGTTTTGTTAAAACCATGCCTAACCTAAAAAATTTATTTTGTATAAATAAGTTATTATTTAGCTTAAAGTCATTTAAGTTTTGTTTGTAAGATACATAAAGTCACCTTTAAAACAATATGATAAGTTAATTGAAATAACAGTGTCATACTTACAGTCAGAGCTTTTGACGAACAAATTTTCTCAAAGATTTTCAGCGGCAAATTAATCAACAACAACAACCTCAAACAGGGATGCCAACATAATTAAATATAATTTCTCTAACAAAGCAGGTAATTACCCATATTTCAGAATGAAAATTCCCCTTGCATTTAAAAGGGATCATAAGAGCAAATTTTCAAAATATTTATGAAGTTTTGTTGCAATTCACCCCTACTGTTGCTATACACCCCACTTTACGGAATATTCTTTACAAAAAACTTTTTTTTTTTAATTTGGATTTAAATATGGTTATTCAACCAATTATGCAATTATTCATCTATTATATAAAACATTTAAAATATTAATTTGATGAAAAAAAATTTACTTTATATGTTTTTGTTGATCTAAGAAAAGCATTTGATACAGTAGATCCCTATAATATTCTATATAAACTTAAAAATTATTAATAGTACTAACTTAGTTTATTTAAAAATTAAAGAAACAGTAAACAGTACATTTTATTTAATGATAGAAGATTAAAAGATAACTATTAGTTATGTCACTTTACTATTTATATAATTGTTATTGAAGTTTCTATTTTTAATAATAGTTATATTGTTATTTAAAAATTTTAATGGTAATGATGATTTCAATGATTAGCTAGATTTATTAAAAATATTTTTAATTTCTAAAAACGATTTTGCTTGATTAAGTTTGATTGAGATGTACTGATTGCACATTTTTGGCTGATGTTGATACCAATGGACAAAAAAGCCCAATACCAATGCCAATGAGTTTACTATCCTAAAGTTGAGATTCTTTTCATGATTTTCTTCATGATGGTCCTTGGCTGATGTCTTTTCTCTTTTCGCTAATATGCGCCACCTACGTAACCTCCTGGTTCCAGGCAGGTTTTGGAAGCTTTTATTTCTTTTTGTTGGTTCCAAGTCAAGCCTCATTCTACTCCATGGTTTTCATCATTTTTTTCAAAAGAACAACTCTCTTTAGAACAAGCGCCTATTTATTATTGCAAGTAATGTAAAAAGGTGTTGTCTGGTACTAAACTTCATCTATTTCCTGTTTCCTAAATCTTTTTATTTTATCTCAAAAGTTCGGCTCTAGAGACTTTTGGAAAATCTTTCACAGCCCCATTAACAAGGTTAAAAATTCCATCTCTTATTTGAGGGACTGATCTTATTACCTCTTCCAAGGATAAGGCAGAACTATTTGCAAAGAACTTTTCTTTTAATTTGACTTTTGAATATTATGACCATATTCTTCCTGTCATTCTAGTTAAACAGGTTAATCTATTGTTAGACATTCAAACCACTTCAGTTTCCATTGCTAAAGTCATATCTCAAATAAACTCTTCAACAGCCTAAGCTGTACTACATTGGACTACAAGCTAGTTTGTAGTCCAAACAACATTCCTGTCATATTCTTATAAAAGTGTTTTCCAGAACTCTTTTCAATTCTCTCTAAACTATTGAATAAGTGCTTGACTTAATCTTGTTTTCTTGCCTGCTGGAATGGCATCTGTGAAAATGGCATAAGTGGTTTCAATTTTTAAAAACTCTGGAGAGCATTCTGACTCCTCCAACTATTGTTTGATCAGCCTTCTCTTTATTATTAGCAAAGTCTATGAGTCTTTGATTGAAAAATTTCTAAAATCCCATCTTGTCTTAAATAACTTATATTTTTTGATTTTTTGTTCTACTGCTGACCTGCTTATTGTTGTGACTGAAAAATTCATTGTGTGATGGAGGTGGCAAGGAATATTTCTCTTGACATATCTAAAGCTTTTGATTAAGTTTGGCATGCTGGTCTTCTCCATAAGCTTGCTTCATGTGGTGTATCTGAGAATGTTTTTTATATTTTCAAATCATTTCTTTTTAACTGCTTTATTAAAGTCTAAATATTAAGCTAATATTCTTCTTCATTTCCAGTAACTTCTGGCCTACAAGGTTCTGGGGAACTCAAGGTGCTGATGACTCAACTTTAGTCTCCTGTCTTAATAAAAAGTCTACTCTTTTCGATTGCTTAGAACAGGCAGCCGATCTAGAATTTAATCTCACTTATGTAAAAGAATAAGGCTTGCAGTGGCTTGTAAGTTAACTACAAATAACTATCACAATATCTTCAGTTTCTGCTTCTGACTCAAGTAACAAAAATAATGCTGGACCAGGCTATTGATTATGGCAATATTTATAGTCTTGCTTATTGTCCAGAATTTAAGAGCAGATCAATTAGTTCAACATCATGATTGTGTAGATGCTAAAACAAATAAAAACCTGTCTACAAATCATTTATGAGTTTTATTTTTGCTTACCTAAGTTTTGCTACCAAAGTTTTCAATTGCTATCTAACATTTCAATCATGAATGACATTGTTGTGTCAGCTGTCAAAAGCATTGCTCAAGGACCGCAAAAAATAAACACTAATTAAATTAGTGTGTATTGTAAATTATTAAGACCTGTAGTCTTTCAAATAGTGTGTATTATTTAGGTTTTCAACCAAATTAACGAGACTGCCTAGTTTATCTGTTTCAAATGATATGGTTGAAATTACATAAATCAATAATTTTAAAACACTGTTATTTAATAAATTTAGTTGTTGCAACTAAAATGTAAGCCATTCCTATATATGATGTGCTACTTTTGTTGTGCACCTATTTTTGTTGTGCTACTTTTGTTTTGTATCTACTTTTCTTTTTTTCTTTTGATTTTTGAAAATTACTACTTTTTTTGAAATTTTCATTTATTTTCATGTTTTTATTATCAAAAATAGATATTTTTTACATTATTATACTTTTTGATTATTATTATTATTATTTTTATGTTAAGTTTATCTATTAATAGTGTAAATAAAGATGTAAAAGAAAATATTCCAACCAATCAAACTTGCATTAAATCTGGTGCTACTAAAAATCAGGTGATTTTTAAATTTTTTTTTATAAAATACTGTTAGAATTTATTTTATTTACGTCTTTTTTTATTTTATTTCAATTCACCTTCTCAATGCCACTACAGTCGAGAAAGCTACTTTTAATTGTGGTTATAACCCTCTCTCAATTCTAAAACTCCAAAACACAAACCTTGAGTAACAAGGCTGCTGCGTGGATAAACAAGTTGAGCACAGTACTACCAGACACGTGGTGGTTATTGAACTCAGAACTTCTTGCTTATGAGGCAAGAGCTCTACTACTTCACCGCTACCACATTTTAAAATTTAATAAGCATTTATATAGATTAAGTATTTTTTATTACTATAATAATAAAATTAAAAGAGTAGTAGTAAGCAAGTAAGAGTAGTAAGTGAGACTTGAGTTAATTTTTCGTTTTTTTCCCAATTCCGCCCAATGGTTCAGGTTAAATAGTCATAATATATTTCTATTAAGTTAACAATTTTTAACAATCTTTAACTATTGTTGCTAGAAGTTATCAATTTTTAGTCTGTTATTAATTGAAATAAAGATTTATTTAAAAATTTGGGGCGGATGATTTGAGTTAATATTAATATACAATAATCCATCATTTGGTTTTTTGAAAGGCTTATATGAATTTTCAGAGAGGTTAAATGTGACATCAAGAAAGTTCACAATTTTTAAATTTATGCTTATTTCGATTTAAAAGCCATTATTTAAAAAGAAATTTTATAATATCTTTTCTAATTTTATCAAGCTGTGGACCAGGTTTTTAACACATTACTATTAAGCCATCATCACAATAAAGGCCAAAATCATTAATATTGATAACACAAAATTTATTCAACAAAAAATTTATTGCATTAAATTTGACACTTGCTTTTACATAATTTTGATGCGCTGAATTCAAATCTGGCATCAGATTTTTATGGCAAGCTACAAATTTTTCGCAATAATTTTTCATTTTGCAAATTAATAGAAATTATTCTAAAATATAGATTTGAAACTCATTTTGAAATGCTAGGATATGTTTTCAAAAATTTAATTTGTTTACAAAATTAAAACAAAAATAGAAAACAGAATAAAATAAAAACTGCTTAAATTGAACATTAAGTTTTAAAAAAGATTGCAGATAATATTGTTTAATTAAAACTGTTTAATGAGGAAGAAACTTTTGCTTGTTGCTCTTTTGTTTATAAACTTTTCCTGAGTCTTCTTGCATAATACCCCAATAATAGTCTTCCATCATATGTTTGTCTCAACCTCCGCCTTTTTCGGTTGTCTTGAAATCTTGGTGAAATTGCTCTTCTTTTTACTTATATCTCCAAGATTTGCAGAAAACTGGTCAAGTTGCAAGATTTGCAGAAAACTGGTCAAGATGGCTATTTATAAAATTAAGTTTTATGCTCATTTTGTATCTAAGATCATAAAAGGCTTTCAACATTTTATCAGCTAAATCTGCATAGTTTTCTTCTTTTTTATTTCCTTGAAAGTTTTTTACAACAACCACAAATGACAACCAAACTGTTTTCTCTTTGCTAATTTTAATTCTTTATCATTTATAAAATAGCAATTTTTTGGCCCATTAGAAACTCCTGCCTTTTTTTTTCTCTAAACAAACCTGGTAATGCTGTAACTATGCACTGAAAGCAATCACTATCAGTTTTCAGTGCTTTAACAAATTGTTTCATGAACCCAAGTTTATTATGGAGTGTCAGAAAAAATTTTTTTCAACTAACAATGGGTTCATTCACAATATTTTGCATGCCCACTGTGAGAGAATAGGCCATTTATTTTGTATTCAGTGTCAGTGTTAGGGTATTTCTGCTGACCAAAGAGAAAATTAACCATTTTTAGATCTACACAAATAATCCAGTTGTGTTTGTGGTATTTAATAGTAAGTACCATTTTCATGTCATCGTAAGTAAGAATGACCAATCAGTACAGAACCAAAAATATTGCCTTTGTGTAAAATAATGCATTTGAGGCTTATCTTCAAGCTATCTATAAAAAGTCTCCATTCTTTTGCATTGTATACAGAAATATCCAACTGTTATAGAAGACCTGAAATATCATAAAAGTAAATAAATAAATTAACTTGTGGAAAAAAATTAACAAAGGTTTCATCTCTTGTTCTAATGTAATAAACTTTTGCAAAGCTATCAAGTAGGTTCTTTTCCTTTAATCCAGAAGCAAGTTTTGCTGCATGCTTAAAAAGTTCTAAATCATGAACTTCATTCAGTTCTATCTGACTAAAGATGAAAAGTCTTCCAAAAAATCTTCTCAAATGCTACTAGAATTCCTATATTCCTATATAGTGTGACTTTGGTCAACTTCCTAGTGACAACAGTTATACTTCAGTTCATGACAGTATAAGCAACAAGTATAAATACATGCTTGTGGACTAAAGTAAGAAACTTTTACAAAGCTATCAATATCAATGCCATATTACCAATATGGCGAAAAATTGCTCTTATGGCATGCAATTTGTAGTTGTGGAAAAAAGAGTAGAGCTTTTATGGCATTATCAACTTTGACATCAATAAAATATTTAAGAAAAAAATATTTAAGCCTTCAAAAGTGACTTTTGTCTTTCATTGAATTGCACACTATTTTGATAAACAAATAATTTTAAATATATTCTACAAAATAGAGTGCTTAATGATCTTAGAAGAACAGAGAAATTATATATTGGTAAAAAAAGCAGTATATATATATTATATATATATTAGGGCCATGCGAAGCTTCAAAATTTCGAATCGAATCAAAAATATGATTTGAGATACAATTCGAAAATTTTCAAAAATTAAAATCCTTACTTTTTTTTTTTTTTTTTTTTTTTTTGTGTGTGAAAATTTTTGATATTCTGTGCTTTGGCGCTATCAAAATAAAGTTACTTATCCTTAAATACTCTTCTAATCAGCCATTAAAAAGGTTAACTAGGGCAAGAAGCATCAATAAAGAGACTATACAATCAGTTTATTTAATTTTATTTTGAAATATATTATATAAAAAATGCTTAAATTTAGACTTCAAAGTGTTAATTAGAAACGTGATTCAAATTGCAAATCAAGACCTGCTTTGATTCGAGATTCGAGTCAAAACAAAAACTGCCAGTTTGCAGGGCCCTAATATATGTATATATATATATATATATATATATATATATATATATATATATATATATATATATATATATATATATATATATATATATATATATATATTTGAACACCTCTATGGAAAAATCAGTGTTGGCACAATTTTCTTATTTTGAGAAAATAAATTTTTAAATTTTAAAAAAATGTTTTTTAAAATTTTATTTATGCGCTGCAATTTAGTTTTTTTTTTATATAGATTAACTATATTTATGTCAGATTATTTATTAAAAAAAAGAAGAAAAAAAAGTTTTTTCAGACTGACTTTACCCTTAAAGATTTTTTTTTTTTTTTTTTAATTATCTCCGCTTCCAACAAGGCTGCAAGCAACCATTAATTAGTGTTGGAAGTTACTGGAAGAGAAAAGATGAAGATTGGAGAGCAAGATAATGATTGACAGACGACTTAAAATATTGCAAATTATATGAATCAGGAAAGCAAGATGAAGGAAGTGAATTCCAAAGAACTGATGTTCAAGGAAAAAAACTAGACGAATAAGAGTTTTTGGAACACTTAGGAACAGTAACAGAAAAAGGATGAGACTTAATTGAATGACAAGAAACACGAGAATGAATTTTAGCATATGGCACAAGAGACGCTAGCTCTTTAGAGCAGTGCCCATTATAGTATTTGTAAAAAAGAGAAAGAGAAGCAACATTACGACGATGTGACAAAGGTTGAAGGTTGACTGCAAGAGCAGGTCCAACTATGTTTACAATGCGTTTTTGCACCTTGTCTAAAAGAGAAAGGGGATCATTAGAAGATCCGCCCCAGATATGGCAACAGTATTCCATACAAGGCCAAATTTGAGATTTATAGAGATAGAGAATAGAATCCAGAGTAAGAAAGTGACGAGCTCGATAAAGAGAAGCAACTTTAGCAGATGTTAATTTTGCAACAGATTTGATATAAGGTTTCCAAGAAAGATCAGAAGTAAGAGTTAATCCTAGAAGATGAAGGGTCGGAGACTCATCGAGTACATTACTGTTCATAAATATAGGAAGGTCTAAACTATTACGATAATGATTGGCCGAAAAAAATTGAGTTTTATCTGAATTAAAGTTCACCAACCACTGTGAGCCCCATGCTGTAACAGAAGTGAGATCCTTTTCTAGCTCAGATGCCCCCCTGCAAGCAATCAGAGGGAGTTGGCTTCTTATCATGACAAGAATAAATGGTAGTATCATCAGCAAACAATGCCACCTTAGATGTGAGAATATCTGGAAGATCGTTAATGTAAATTAAAAAGAGTATAGGGCCAAGGATTGAACCTTGGGGAACCCCTGAGGTTACAGAATAAGAAGAAGAGTGCTGTCCATCAAGGACAGCTTTTATACTACGATTGGAAAGAAAGGATTCAATAATCTAAAAGATGTTTCCAGATACACCATAAGAAGAAAGCTTATGGAGGAGACCAGCATGCCGAACTTTATCAAACGCTTTAGAAATGTCAAGAGCAATGGCCTTAACCTCTCCACCTTTATCTAATGCGCGATAAAACCTATCGGTTATTACTGATAGCAAATCAGCTGTAGAACGAGAAGGTCGAAATCCATATTGATGATCAGAAAGAAGGTTATGAGATTCGAGATTCGAGATTAAGTGTTTGTTAATTAAAGATTCAAAAACCTTGCTTATGATAGGAAGAAGACTAATGGGACAGTAGTTAGATGAATCAGATCGCTCTCCAGAATTTTTAAAAATAGGGATAACAGATGCTGCTTTCCAGCAGGCTGGAAAACAAGATTCTGATAAGCACTTGTTAAATAGTTTTGAAAGGGTAGACAACAGCTCCGGAGAACACTTCTGCAAGACTATAACAGGTATGTTGTCCGGGCCGCAAACTGTAG